TAAGATTTACAACTGGTATATTCACACAATGGAATATTATGTTGCACTGAAAAACAACAAACTCATGCAATATTATTCAAAATGGGTGAACCTGGAGGACATTATGCTGAGTGAAATATCTCAGTCACAAAAGGACAAATACTGCATGGTGCCACTGTTGTAGAACCGGACTGACATCAGGGTTGGGGTGAGACTGAGAAAAATTGGATAAATTATGTATACTGCATTGAAACAGATGAGGGAGAGAACAGTTTAAAAGTGATATATGGTTGAATATTCTGGACAAGAGTCCAGAATAAAAGTTGCATAGTGGAGTGTACTGGGGGTGGGGGCGGTATTGTATACCAATGAAGGACTTTTTCTTTTACTTTTCAAAGTGAAGAGTGAACTGGAGGAGAGGGGTGGGTAGGGAGAAAAATGCCACAATGAATGAATGGAAATCCAAACTCTCTGTAAATGTTCAGTAAAATTAATAAAATAAAATAAAATAAATATTTACAGCCTCAGAACCTACGAATGGGCTCTCCCATATGATGGTAGTGGGTAAATAGAGGGCAAAATATGGAAAATTTAGGTCCTCTAGTTATGAAGTAGCTTGGTACATACATAGATTTACCATCGATCCATTCTTGGCCTTTAAGGAATTATTTTAAAGTCACAACTGGGGCAGGGGGAAGTGGGGAAGTAACAGCTGATACAGAGATTATGGAAAATGGTAGATACATACAGCCCCCTGGTTACCACTGAGATGCTTTCCTAAGAGTGTCTTTTGAGTTTTAGGTAAGCCAAAACAGGCACAAAGGATTCTTATTTAGTCTTTAGTGCAAGGACAGCCCTGGTAGCACAGAGGTCGAAGTGTTCAGTTGTTAACCAAAAAGTTTGGTGGTTCAAAACTACCAGCAGTTCTATGGGGGGGGGTGGGGAATATGCCATTTGCTTCTGTAAGGATTAAGGCTTTGGAAACCTCATGGTATAAGTCTGCCTGTCTGATAGTTCAAGTGAAGGTAATTGTGATGAATTTGTTACAAGTGGGGGTTGGTTCAAGTGAGAGCAAATTTACTTTAAAGGGCTACAAGTAGATGTTCATAAGTAAACCAGGAAACTGCTCCTACTAACAGATCTGTAAACAACTCCCTTTGCCAGTTTTTGAAGGCAAAAAGGGGACGCAAGACTATGGAGATGTCATACAGGCTGAAAACTTGTCAGTGAGGCAGAGACAGTCAGAGATAATGCACAGAAATACTGGCACAACCTATGTAGTTGGCAAAAATTAAATCTGCCCCAAATTCAGAAACTACCGTTTGAGATCTACTTGATTTAAAACCAAATAGCAGCAGCAACAAAAACTCTAAAAACATGTAAGAGATCGTACAACAATGGTGTTGGAGAGGAGTACTGAATATCCCACGGAATGCTGAAAGAACAAACTTCTTGGAGAAGGCGCAGCCAGAGTGCTCCTTGGAGGCAAAGATAGCAAAGCTTCGCCTCAATTACTAGGGGCATTTGGTCAGGAGAGGCTATCCCTTGGAAAGGGATTATGAGCTCTGGTGGCCTAGCGGGAAAATGTTGTGCTGGCAGCTCAAAGATCTACGGTTCAAATACACTAGCCCATCCTTAGAAGAAAGATAGGCAATCTCTTCCCATGCAATTAACTATTTATGAAAACCTGCTGGAGGGTCAGCTATGTGTCGGTTCTGACTTGATGTTATACAACAACAAAACAGTGACTGACTGATGATCTGATAATCTGTTTCATGAACTTAGACCTTTTTCAGAAAGAAGAATGTAAGACAGAAATAAAATATAATCATTTTTCTCACAGGAGATGCCATGAAGCTCAAAGGGCCACTTAAAAAAAAAAAACAAAAAACAAAAAACAAAAAACCAAACCAAAAAAACTCCACAATGTGTGTAATATACTTTTTTCCCCTACAGTACATATTATATACCTCTCTCTTTCATTGAGGAGTCCAAACTGACTCATAACTGATCCTCCAACTAGTTTACGAAGCCTGTACAATGGCTAGAGGTGCCACTTTTGAGTAGGGCAGCCAACTCCCTCCGGATGACTCCACGTACACATTTGTATTATATGCAAAAGAACAAATTGCAGTTGAGACCATGGAAAATAATTTCACCCATTAAAATAAAAACCTACCAACTGGAAAATCAAATGACTGGATGGACAGACCTTCTGAGGAAGGAAATTTTCTCATGCTATTTGGGAAAATTTGGGAATGGGGAGACAGAGCTTTTCTTTTCTGTAAGATGTTAACACATACATGTGCCAGTTAATATTCTTTCTGGCAAAAGTCCTACCATATATGTATCTGAGGCCATATAAGAGATCTTGGTCATTCTGGTTTGCTCTTTCAAAGGGCCAAAATTTCCCTGCTCACCCAAAGGCTTTAGTACAAGAGCCCCGAAGCACCCCACTGATACCAAAGAAGTCAGAGGTTCAAAACCAGCAGCAGTTATGGTAGCCGGCTTCTGTACAGACTGTAGCCCTGGAAACCCTCAGGTGAAATCCTGCTCCGGCCTGTGGGTTTCTACAAATCCACTAGGGGTTCTGCAGAGGAAGATGGGCAATCTCTTCCAGTGAGATTCAGAGATGCAGAAATCCAGTGGAGGGTCAACTATGAGTCAGCTCCGTCTGGACAGCAATGAGTTTTGTTTTGGTTTTTTAATCCAAATCAGCAGACTTTTACAGCACTAGAACCATGAGGGGGATACAGATTGCCTGGGCAGGGGGCGTGGCTCTGGACTTGGGCTCCAGATGAAACAGAGGGTGGGGAAATGAGCATGCCACACTTCCCCCCTGGCTTCCTGAAGTGCCAGCCACTGCTGCTGGCCATTCCTCCGGCCTGTGCCAGCAGCTCAAGCAGCGGCACAGAGGTGGACCATAAACGAGGTCCTACCCAGTTCTGTGGCGCTCACACAACATTCCAAATCATTTTAATGTCCCATTTCAGAGACAGGATACCATGTGGCACGTGCTTGTATTGTAGTGTTTGTCCCTCACTCCATGGCAAGAAACCGAGGCCCTAGATCTCCAAAGGTGCATTCAATATGAATGATTAATCAGTCACCTTTGCCAGGGCAATAAGGATAGGGATAAAATGAATCCAAAATGATTTAATGTAATCTCCAGTCTACAGTTAAATCAGTCCCCCTCCAACACCACCAACCTGGTGATTAACTTCTAGCTTAACAGGCTGTGAAGAGTTCTGTGTTCCCTCTTCTTACTAGCACACCCAGTGAACCCTTCCTGGGGTCAGATTTCAACCTGGGGCAGAATCCCTGCCACAGGTAAGTGGTTCATTCTGAGCGGCCTAATTTGACTTCATTCTGTTTGGGCTTCAGTCCAACTGGCAGATGTTCTTGTAGAAGCAGATCTCAGACACCTTCCTAATTTTTCTGGCACCGTTGCATCTGCTACATGGGATATCATCTGTGAAACTTTATCTTGGCTTCTCCAGGTTTTGCTTGTTTAGTAGCTTTGGTTTTCTCAAAGCTCTCTGCTGAAGAGGCTCACAGGAAAAACTCCTAAATCACTGCTTAAATCCTTGGGTGCAAACGCAACTTATCGAATAACTTTCTTGCAAATTTCCTCATCCCTTTGTCTTTCTCCACTCTCCAACCAAAATAAGTCACTTCAAAAGCAAAAAACGCAAACACACAAGGTAATCATTGCCAATGTACAAATGCCCCCTTTGGGGTTTGTTTGTTTGGGTTATTTTGGTTTTGGGGGGTGTTTTTTTTTCCAGGCTTTTGTAGAGTGAAATGCCAGAGCTCTGATATTTATTATCTGAAATAGGTTCACCATTTAGAGAAATGTGCTGAAACACATAACCTTGGAAAGAAAAACAAGCTGGTCAGACAGAGAGAGCAGGGGGTGGGCAGAGAACATGATGGATGCAATTTTGCTGTGTGCTGGGCAGAGTTAGAAAATTGGGTCCTTTGAGCATAAAGAGCTCCCAGATGAGGTAAAAGTGAAATACAAATTGATTTCCAACTCATGTTGAGGGCCACTGGAAATCAACTTTAAATATACATGACCACCATATCAATAAGAAATCTTATGTTTTATTTAATAATTTGGCCAGAGCAACCCATTTGACGGGCTCACTAGTTCAGGAAAGAGGAGTAACAAGCCATTGTTCGCTTTCCTGCAGATGCACCATCTTCCAAATTATTTCTGTTGGCCCTGCTGCTTTACTCTTTTTGAAAATGAAAACGGAGGGGGAGTTAGCCTATATTAGATCAGCAAATGTCTGGTCCTTATTCAAATATTCCATCTAATGGGGGCATGAGTTCTCGTGCACTTGGACTACCACTCTGCAACATTCCTGAGAACTGAATAATAAAATAATCTTGAAAGTCAGCAGAGTGGATTATCCACTTTTTTCCTGGACTTGAACTTGTGACCTTAACAGTAGCGCTGCAAAAAAAAAAAAAAAGAAGCAAATGTGCTAAGCACTTTGCCCGAGTAACCCTCCATATGACTTTTTATCTTAAATACACACAACTGAAAACAAACTAGTTTCTGGAAAAATTATGTACAAACCCGATACTTCTTTTGATTACATATAAATACAAATCCGCTATTTTTTTTCTCCTAGAAAGTGGTTATAATAGTAAATAAATACAAAATAAATCTGACCATTATACTTCATGTGCTGGGCCTGAGCCCATATAAAATGTACAGCTAAATACATTTTAAATCTTTAAAGAATAACTCTCTGATTAAAATATTTATTTCCCCAACTCCTTTTCATAGATATAAATATATTTTCAAAATAGTTGTGGTTTTTTTCTCCTCCATTCCATTCCATAAATAAAGTCTTCATTGGGAAATATTAAAGTGTCAACTGGTATTTTTCATTTCTTTTCTAAAACATATACGTATATACATATATACACATATAAATAGATGTGTATATATGTATACACACATATATATACACACACACATACACATATATAAAAACTTTGCTGTGCTAACGGCACCCACATCCCTCCACAACCATGTCCTGATAATTCTTTAATACAACCTTTTCATTTTCATCAAGGTATAGCATGGAGATAGCACTGAGTTCTGTAGGGACACAACATGCCCTGGGAATCTTCGAGTTAACTGAATTGACCAATGTCTGAACGATGGCATGATTCGTGGAGTTCAGGTGATCGGCCAGAGGAAATGGGCATTCCCCGTGGCAGTAATAGGCGTGGTACCCTGGCGGGGCCACGATCCAGTCATTCCACCCCACGTCACTGAAGTCCACGTACAAAGGGTGTCTCTTGCAGCTCGATTTAAGGCGCCTCCGCTGTTTGTGTTTCGCCTGGCGCTTCTCTCTTTTGTACAAAGGAAGTCCTTTCCCATCGTGGCTGAAAGTGACCAGCAAGGGCCTGAACTGGGCCCAGCTGTCGTCGTCTTGGTGCAAAGACCTGCTAATCCTCACATGTCTCCGGGAGGAGTCCTCCTCATGGTCGTCCAGATGGATCACCTCCACCATAAAGCCATGATTGACCTGGCCCTGCGCGGTCCACCGCAACACTGCGGGCGTGACATCGAAGCTCTCCCACCGGCTCGTGTTCTGAGTCACCAACCTGGTGTCCAAGAGTCTGACCACTGGAAACTTGGAGGTGGCAGTTGCTGGCTTTATGATTTCATAAATATTAATTCGGTGGCGGAAGCTGCTGCTGTTCTCCACGGCTTCTTGCACCTGTTCCCGAAAGACATGCAGTTCTGCTGAAGTGATAGACTCCTCGATGGGAAAGGATGTTAAGTTAAAGAAGAATCGCCGGACTGTTTTCCCATTTACATCTGGAAGCTCTTCCAAGGATTCTAATAGAAACAAAGAGATTTTAACAATGAGTGAGCTCAGCGATGGCAATGTGTATGCAAATTCTGAAACCCCTTTTTGGGGTTGGATTTAACTCTCAAGTACAAGTCCGCAGGCAGGATAAAAATGAACCCACAAAAGAGTCACCTTTCTGGGTTCCCATCAATAAGCATATCATGAAACAAAGGTTTCATAATTCCCTGTAATGCTTTTGATCTCACACATGAACTCTGCTTCCAGGTGGCTATAATAATGGGGGAAATGGTGAAGCATTTCTCTGGAATTCAGACTCGAGGAAGAAGGGGGGACCAACACAACAAAATTTCAGCACTGTAGTTAGTAGAGGTCTAATGAGTGAGGATTTGAGGAAATGATTGCATTTTTTTAAAGAAAAAAAAAGAAAGGCTTTAATGTCAACCCCCTAAGCATTATCCTCAAACATTAGTCTGCAATTTAGATGATTTACAAATCTCGATATACAGATTTCAGTTTCCTAATTAAAGACTCTCAAAACTCAACATCAATGATGACATTTTGCAAAGCACACCCTACTATTTTACTCCAAAGTCCACAGACAAAGGCATTTACAGGGATCGACTTCTTTGGGAACCTATGAGTGGTCCCGGGAGACTGTAGCCATTAAAGCCACACAATTTCATGAAAATAGCTTCCCCAACTGCTGCCTGTTCTCACCTCCGTATGACCTCAAAGGATCAAGGGCTCCTTTTAGATACTTTTTTAGGAAGGGGGGAAAAAGGAAAAACTCAAACCTACATTCTAAAGCAGCACAAAACAAAACAAAAAACCCAAAAACAAAACCCAAAACCACCAAGGGTTATCTTTTTTAAAAAAATCACTATGATATTCATAAGGACGCTTAGGTGGCCTAGTGGGTAAGGAGTTCTGCCAACACAAAAGCACTGAGTTTGAATCCACCAGGTTCCTCGGCAAAAAGATGGCAAATTTCCTCCTGTGTAATTTAGAGCCTGATGACCCACTGGAGGGTCAGCTATGAGTCAATTCAGCTTTGATGACACAGAATATTCAGGACACAAGGGATCCTCATTCTGTTTCAGAAGAGTCATACTGAGCTCAAGATAGTAATTTAAGATTAAGACACTTGTTCCTTAAAAAAATGAAACAGTGGTTTGTGGTGGGGTATTTTCCTCCCTTCACAGAAGAAATACTTTTGAAAATTTTTAAGGAGCAAAGAAAAATAATAGCACTTTGAGTGCCTGCAAGACTGAAAATCACCGAAGGCTGCAAACATCCAATTGCTATGGAATCAGAACAGACTCATAGCTGACTCTCCAGTTGGGAGGAGGCTGCTCTCCCACCCCGCTCTCCCATGGAAAAGAAATCCTATTAAGGGATTTGAACCACCGGAGTTGGCAAGTGGTATAGACACTTAAGCACTGAGCTCTTAGGCAAAACATGGGTAGCATGAGGAAACTCAACGGTGCTTTGAGACAGGCCTGTGCCTTCAAGGTTAGGCCACAACTTTCAAAGTCCTATGCAGCAGTTTTTTCTCTGCGCACAAGGAGTCACTGTGAAATGGAAATGATTCCTCAGCAACCAACAAGTTTGATGATCACATTCTGTCCAGAAAATGCACCTGTATTTCATTCAACATCTCAACTTTGATTCTTAAAAGATTTTTTTTACCTTGTTTCCACGGCATCCTAAGTGGAGCCTGGGTCCCATCCCCACTTTGAACTTGTTTTTCTGCTTTTTCTAGCACTGAGCTCTACACCTCTTGCATTGTTCACAGTAGTGTCAGAACTGACTCAAAGCTGACCCCCAAGGGGTTTTCCATGGGGGGAGATTACTCATCCTTCTCTTGGGGAGCAGCTGGTGGATTTGAACCATGGGCCTTGCGATTGCAGCAGTTTCTTACCACTAGGCCACCAGAGCTCCCTTCCTCCTGAGTAAGGCCTATTAATTTTACTCACGCAACACTAATTATATGATGGTGAAACTCTATCTCACATAGGGTGGCAGAGCTAGCAAAGAACATCATACTTGGAAAGTTGGGGGGTCAAGAGTTTGAGAGGAAGACCCTTGGTGAGACGGATTGACACTGGCAATGGGAGGAAGCTGTTCGCGAGGTTCGCTCAGGGTAAGGTTTAGAGACATTGCTCACAGGGTCACTACAAGTCACAGTCAAATCATGCACATGTCGTATAACAATATGTAGTGATGAGTTTTAAAACATGAAAGTAAATGCACATTTAAAAAAGTCTCATTATCAACAAGCTAGATGGGAGCAAGAGGGACCAGCCGCCACATTAGGGAGTAATCGTTTAGAGCAGTGTCACCTTTCACTTCAACCCATGACCCTCTAACGGGTTTGCAGAGGCTGCAAACGGCACAGGAGGTGCTTGCCCAGCTTCCTCCCAAGGACCCACGGATGGTGGCTGGAATGTCATCTGGCAGTGAAACTCCCTATGGATGGATTATACACAAGGAGACTTGACATCTTCAAATGCAGATTCTGAATAGGTGGGGATGGTGGGGATCCTGAGACACTAATTTCTAGCAAGCTCCCAGTGCCGTGGATGCTGCCAGCTTGTAGACCACTTCAGAGTGTCAGAGTCTTAAAGGCAGTGTTACATATTAGTGGTCATGAACTGTGCTACCAACTCAAAGGTAACGGATTCAAATCCACCTGTTGCTCCACTGAACAAAGACAGGCAATCTCCTCCCATGCAATTTACTGCCCTTGAAAACCCACTGGTGGGCCAGCTGCAAGTCAGTTGCAACTCAATGGCACTAGTAGAATCACTTATTCAAGTAACATACATCAAGGCTATGGGTCACTCACCAACATGGACTGAGGTCAGAAGGCTGTTTCCTAGAGTTCCTCTAGTTAGCTATGGAAACCATCAGGTCCAGACTCATGCCTCCCTCCAACCTGATACATACTCCATCCACATTTTGAAGTCTACCTGCACCTCCTGCTGTCTGCACCAGGTGCTGAAATAGCTCACCAACCTACCCATAAAGTACTGGATGGTGCCAAGAGCTAAATATATTCTCAACGTCTAACTAGAAAGTTGGACATGTGCATCTACCAAGACACACCTCAAAAGAAACTCCTGGTGATCTACTTTCCCAAAATTCAGCCACTGAAAACCCTACTGTTTCTGGTGTCCTGCTGTGGCATACTCCAAGTTAACCATCATCAGAACTGACCCAATAGCAGCTGGTTCATCGCAATTTCTTCCTCTCACTGGCTTCTAACAAGCACCAAGCGTTGTTTCTCATTTTCCTTTCCCCCTCAGAAGCCAACAGCAGCCAGAAGAAAAAAGGTGATCAGCACTCCTAAGGTCTCAGTGACCCCAAAGTCTGATTGGCACTGAGCTTCTGGTCTTACAATACCTGAGAATCTTCTTTCCAAGCAGAGAAAGAAAGGGACACTCATCTAAGACATTCACTGAAGAGCTACGTTAATGAAAACACCCAGAGAAATCCTAACTGCAACAAATACCCACTATAGTAATAGATAAGGAAGAAACAAACACGTTCTGATTAAAAAGCAAATTATACTCGAAAAAGAAAAGGAAGAAACAAAGGTGTTACAGATGTACCCCATTTGTGGGACCAAACCCCTCCAAGCACATCATCCCACTTCTACTCCTTGTCTCTGCAAGCATGAAGATGCTAAAAATACGGAGCATTAAGCTTTAGCACATAATGTGGAGATCTATGTGTCTGTTAACGATGGCCTAGAAATATCCCCTTTCCAACAAACCAATTTTTCAGGACTTGAAAGTTCTGGCCTATCTTATACCTGGGTCCTAAGACTATTTTAACCAAACAGATACGGGAACAGGTCTGCAAAAGTACGAGAATCTGTTCTTGAAATCAGTGTATTTGAATTTTTTTAATAAACTAGTATTTTAAAAAATGAGAAAAAATGAGAAAGAAAGGTACAAGACTTCAAAGGGAAGTCTTAATAATCAATACCTTGTCCATTTACCCATCTGTCAGGTAGGGCTGTATTTCCTCAGCCTTCATCTACACTAGTCAGCCCATGCCCACTCTGTCCTCCTCATGAGACAAGTACAGAATAGGTCATAAGTCTGATGATGATGATAGCTCATGTGAGCAGAATGCTTTATGGGCAAGCCTAGCACTGAGCTAGCTTTCTACAACTTACCTCACAAGCCAATTATAAAGCAATTTTTTTTCCATGAAATGAGAGCTCAGAGGGGTTGAGTGGCTTGCCTAAGGTCACAGAGCTAGTAAATAAAGAACAGAGTCAGGAAGAATATAGTAGACGCTAAGTTTCTAAGTAAGAAGCTGCTCTACCAAATGCAGGGTAGGGGGTGGGGGAAGAATAAGCTGGCTGACTCACAGCAAAGCTCCAGTGGGTTTCTGACGCTATATAAGTCACATGAGGGGACTGCTGGGGCCCTTGATTGGACCACCTGAGAGTCATGGCCTTGGTTGGTATCACAGTTCACTACAGAGCACACAACCAGAGCACCTTTGTCCTAACACTCAGTACCCCCAAGTATATATGGCATAGACTGCAGACAGGACCAAAATGAGCAGAAAAGTAAGGCAAGACCCCATGAGGTATGTCTACCTAGCTTGCAATGGCATACACTGGGGGAGGCTCCTGATAGGGCATCCCTGGGCGGCACAAATGGGTAGAGAGATCTGAGTAGAAAGGTAAGCCCACCCACAAGTGCCTCAGAAAAAGGCCTGAAAATCTATTTCTGAAAATCCAGCCACACAAATCCCTGTGGAGTTGGTACAGTGCTACTCTGAAATGTACATTGTTCTTAGTCAAGTTGAGTCAAGTTCATAGAGACCCTAGGAATAAGAGATCTGACCTCGTCCTGTCTGGTGCCAACCTCACAATCTCTGACACAACAGCTCATAGCTGCAGTCGCTGTGTCAATCCATCTGGTCAAGGGTCTTCCTCTCTTCTGCTGTTCCTCCACCTTCCCAAACATGATGGCCCTCTCCAATGAATAGCTTCTCCTAATCTCCTAACCACATGTCCAAAGTATAACATGCACAGGGTCACCATAAGTAAGCCAAAGTCACCTCCAGAGCAACCTTTTTCTATTTTCCATAAAGGACACTAAGTTAGAGTAAAAAGTGAATCACTGTTTTGAAAATTCTGCAGACTTTACTGCACAGAAAACATTCGTTAAAAACAACCGAAACGCCTGTGGATGTGCTGGGAAAATTAAGTATAATTACTAATCACTGCCCTGAAATATATGGTGGCTGAATCTTCTAGACTATTCAAGTTAGGGAAAGAATTTATTAGAGAACTGGTATCATTAAGGAGCAAAGATAAACTAAAGGTTAAAAAAGAATCAGACTTTCCCCAAGAAGCAGTGGCAAATAAAGGGCTGTCAGCATGGATAAAGCAAATTGAGCTTCTGTCCACCCTTCCCCCCAACACCTGTAAAATGACCGGGGGTCCTCTCTTTAATATATATACAACAGGCAAGCCGAAAGGCAAAAATAATTCAATGCGAAAGATCAAAATAATCCAGGGGTACAAATAAAGGGTAGAGCAAAGAGTGTCACAGAAGTGTCTAACACCAGCTGCTTCAACCCCAAGGAGCATTTTCAAGTAGAATGACTGTCCCCCTGGCAGAGTAATGGCCACTATGAAACACCTGTGGGCCTTAGCACAACAGGAAAGTACATCCGAGGGGTCTATGTGTTGAAATCTTCGGGACTTTGTAGGGAGCTATGGTGGCCTAGAGGTAAGGAGCTGCACTGCCAACCCAAACGTACATAGTTCAGATCTACCAGATGCCCAGTCAGAGAAAGATACAAAGTCTTTCCCCATGCAATTTATAGCCTCTGAAAACCATTTTAAGTTGGAGGGTCTGCCATGAGTCGGTTCCAATTCTGTGGTATTTGTGGTTAAACTTCCCTTCAGAAAACAGTGGCTGTCTTTTGGGGATGTTTTAATTTTGGGATAGAGTTAATCCCTATCCAAAAGCTTTAGTCAAGGGAGATATTTCCATTATTTCACGAGAAATAACATTTACTTTAAAGAGTAAATAGACAACATGGGGTCCTTCTAGGTTCCCACCTGACATTAAAGCATAATAAAGTTTTTGCAGGGCCCATGAAATCAGTTCTGATGCCTCTTATCACAGCAAAGCATGAACTACAGTTAGTAAAGTGATTTTTTTTCTGTCCTCAAAGTCAATTCTGAAAGGCTTATGTGGCTTCAGACTTTTCAACTGACTTGAGGAAGGGGAACTGTGCAAAGATCAGGCTATCTCAACTACAAGTCATGTAAAAAGGACTAGACTACAAGAATGCTCAAGAGGAAAAAGACCACTGATAATTTTATCTCTCACTGCCTACCATGGGGTCCTGTTATCTTCACACTGACTGAAAGAACTCCATCCCCTCTAGTCTCAGAGATTCCAAGCCATTTGGATCCTACCCATAAAGGCAGCAAGATAGCCTATACTGGGGTCCTTTAACAAAAGCCACTTAGGATGAGGACAGGAAACACATCCTGCTCTTAAATAATTCTTAATCCCATGGTTTAAGCATTTTGGGGGGGACATGCATGAGTGAAAGATACAAAGAAAGTTCAAATCCTGAGTTACACAACCACAACATGATTTTCATCAAAATTTAAGACACAACTTCTATGACATACTAGTTATACTTTTTTTTTTAAATGGTTCTTTGGAAAACAGCAAAAATGCCACAGCCTTTCTGTCATCCAATTACACTGAGTTTATGGCAAGTTGATTTTGAACCAAGTTGGTAAGATAAATATCATGACTTTCAAAATCAAGCATAACTTTTTTGTTGGTTGTTGAAATAAAATATTCAAAGGGAGCTCTAGCTCTGGTGACTTAGTGGTAAGGAGTTGTGCTGCCAACCCCAAAGGTTGGCAGTTCGAATCTACCAGCTGTTCCTTGGAAGATGGGCAATCTCCTATGCAATTTACAATTTCTAAACAGCCAATGGAGGGTCAGCTAGGAGTCCATTCTTACTTGACTGTCCATAACAATTTCAAATGAGTTTGAAGCTTGTTTTGATCAAGGCATTACTGGAGAATAGACAATATGCAGATCTCACCAGCCAGATCCTCACATATTTATGTGTATAAAATTCTAAGCACAGAACCTTGTTGTTTTTAAACAAATTTTTTTTGGCTTAAGATCTGTGTTCAATTCCTAGGAAGTGTTACACATGTCATTTTTCTATCCAGAAGGGGGAAAAAAAAATCCAACAGCATCAACTAGAAAAGAGGAATAAAATGCCTAAGATCCCAGGGTTAGGGTAAAAGACGTCTACAAAATGACATTCTCGTCCATGACAGCTTCTGCTTTTGCTGGATGAAATGTCAAGCGGAATGAGACCTTCCTGCTTTGCAAACTTGAATTCTGTTAGCAGAAGACACTTCACTCCCTGCAAAATGAGTTGTCAAACTTTCTTCCTTGGGTGACACTGATGGTTTATGTGCACAGCTAAACAAGAGGAAAGGAGGCTCAAGTGCACCCGGAGACCCCTTCAAATCTGGAGACTTAACTTTTGAAAAATAAACCACTACGAATTCTATGGAGCACACAGTTCTAAGATGACACACGTGAAATCTGAATTGCCTCCAAGGGCAATTATCACTTTGCTTAATGGATGCCTCAGTGAGAAGTCCTGTGTCTAGCCTATGGGGCTCTGTACCCCTCCCAGCCAGTATTCCCACAACTGTAACTGACCATCAACAAGGGAGAGAAAATGCTTTGTTTTGATTTTCACTTGACAAGGACCTCTGCAGCAGGTCCTTTTTTTTTAAGAAAAAAAATGATTCTCAGCTCCCTAATATCCTGCAAGTGTTTGATCCGAGATGTATAGCTCTGAACCTTTCTAAGGACTTGAAGGAGCCTGTGTTTTATTTAAAATTTATTAAGCCAGAATGACATTTAAAAGTATGTAGCAAAGAACTGGAGTGGAATATGCTTTTGACTAATTGCTCTAAGAACCTGGGCACAGCACTCTCCACAGCTCCTGCAACACATTTCAAAGCCACTAAATAAATGCCTTTCTGATGAAACAAGCAGAAATGCCCTACCTTTAACCACATTCAGTATCATAAAAGGAAATAGAAAAAATATATATATCTACATTTCAGTGCACATGAAGGAAAAGAGGCAGCTGCTGCAAAAGCTTTTATCTGATGGCTTTGCCTTGTCTCTACCCTGAGCCTAATATCAGGCTGCAGCAAAAAAAGAAACAAGAAAGTCATTGTGGAAACCAGAAGATTGATGGTGGATTTGATCTCCCACGGGGATTAGATAGGGATTCAAACTCATCCAAACCAGGCCCACATCAACTGGAAATGAGAAAGACTCTGGGACTCTGGGCTTTTTAACATCTCTAAAAATTCCCCCCTTGGCTCTTCCTGGCCTGAAACGCTGGCTTAAATGACAGAAGCCGATTTATAGAGCACAGGGCTTCCTAACCGACTTCTATCCCAAACATCCCCTGAATGCTGGCATGCTGAATTGGCTAGGGGCATGCCTTTTGCCCTCATATCTTCCTCATGGCTTGATTTTGCTCCAGTTCCGGGGGGAGGAGTCGCCCTGCTGGCGGCCAGCCAAGAAAAGGGTGCGGATTTACCAGAGGGGAATCCCTGGCTCCGCTCCACACACAGTGCAATAGCCATGCGGGAAAGCCTGAATCTGAACCGACCTGATGGAGAAGGCAAGAGTTGGCTGCGCCCTGCTCTGTCCCGGGATGTCTGGAGTCTGCCCTGTGGTGAGAAGCCCTGCAGGGTGACTGTGGCCCCGGCTCGAGCCCCGCTCACCTTCGTGGTGGAAGCTGCGCACCGTGTTGGCGCGGCTGGCCGCCCTCTCCAGCCGGTGGTCCAGGGCGTCCGCGCCCGCCTGGCCCGTCTGCCGGCGGTACAGCTCCATCATGTAGGGGGGCACCACCACGTTCTTGCTGGGAGTGGGTCGCTCCTTTATGCCGAACACGCTGAACAGTCGCATCTCAAAGGTTTTGAGGACTTCGTTAAAGGGCTTAGTTGAGGACTGGTCCCACGCCTCCATGAACTTCCTCTGAGCCTCTTTGGGGATGAGGCCGGCCGCGCCGCCCAGGAGGACCTGGGGAAGCAGCAATGCTAGGAGACAGCGGGTCCCGGCCACCACCATGGTCGACCTGCGGACAGGGCCAATGTGAGTCACAGTTCCCTGCCCAGTGCCCTCCCCAAGCCCTGCAGACCCGGCTCCCTGCTCCCCACTGCCTCCGCCTCCAGGGAGCCCACCTGGGCTGCGCACTTGCAGGGTTGACACACGGGCTAATTTGCGGAGTTTGCTAGAATAGAGTCCCTAGTTCCTAAAAACGGCAATCCTACCACAGTCCTATCATTGCACTCTCATGTGATTTGAAGTTTCCTTGTGTGTCCCCCCACCATAAGTGACTCTCTCTCACTCACACACACACACACACACACACACACACACACACACACACCCCTTTATTACATTCGCACTGACAGCCAGCCCAGGAGAGGAACTCTTAGAAATGTCACCCCTTGGCCGGGCCCTGCCCACTGCACAATCCCAAACCCGCAGCTCAGCTTGCTTATAAACAGGGACGAAAGGCGCACGTGACTTCCTCAGAGGCACTGAATGGCACTTCCTGATACAGTCTAGAACTTCCAGACCTTGTGCGCACAAGGCTGCGCCTGCGGAACGCCGCCGGGAACCGTGGCCCAGGCCCCTGAGCTCAGGGCCCTGGAGCGAGGCGCCTCCGGGTCCTCGCACGCACCTAGGGCGGCCAGGAGCCTCGCACCACCCCCCCCCTCCCCACCCCGGGGTTACGTAAGGGCTCCTCTAGGACTCCAAGGGTCAGCTGTTACAAACGCTCTGCAGGGGGGCGCGGAGGTACTGCCCTTCTCGAGCTGCGGGAGAATCCCGCTGTCCAGCGCTTTCTCAAAGGGACCTGGCTCTGAGTGAAGAGAAGTCCCTGAGAAACTCGGGGAGAAGGAACAGTCAGGGCAAGATATAGAGGCTGGCAGCTAACGGGTGGAATGTCAAGAGCCACCCTACAAAGTCATGTTATCATTTCTAGTTAAATACTGAACAGAATAAGGATGAAGACAGAAAAGTGGGGCCAAGCTGTCAAGACGGAATGGCCGCTGGGAGCGGTGCGAGAAGGCACCCCCACATGGGGTTCAGCTGCATAAGTCCTGAGGGAGGTCTCTTTATGGCCACAGTCCAGTGAGTAAGGGGCTCAGGCGCGGTGGCCCCAAGGATCCCCGCGCCCACTGCCCACCCCTGGTGCGAACCCACGTCCTTTACCTTTAGGAGACCGCAGACCGTCTAAGAAGCAGCCGGGGACACGTCCATTCAAAGAGTGTCCACATGGAAAAAACTCTGGTCGAAGGACCTGGCGAGGGCCCCGGTGTCCGCTCCCTTCCTCCGCCTGGGGCAGGTCAGTCCCCGCTCCGACCCCGCAGAGAGGAGCAGCGCTGGGGCTAAGAGGAGACCGGGCAAAGCCCGCGGTGGCCCAGGCACCGGCGCGACACAAGGAGCGCAAATTATTCTGCCTGCAAGTTCAAGGAATCTCCAGCCAAGTGCTGACACACAACAACAGCGAGCAGGGGGCGGAGTGCGGGGCAGGGCAGGGAAGCAAGAGGCGAAAAGCCGGTGCCTTCGTCGTCCTCAGGCAGCGGTGGCAGCGGGACGCGTGGCCCCGTGCGGAACCGACTCTGGGACGCGGGGGACAAGGGTCGGACGCGGGGCACTAGCTCCGCCGCGGCCCGCGCCTCGGGGCGGCCATCCGAGTCGACGCCGGGTCCGGGGAGGGGCACAGCGGCAGCGGCGATGTCGGAGCTCGGCGAGCGGCCCCCCCGCATCACTCTGCCTGACTCCAGCGCACCCCCATCCGCGCTCGCCGATCGGGTCACCGCGGCTCCGGCGTCCCCGGCGTCCTCTGTCGCATACTCCGTAGGATTGAGCGGAGTCCTGTGCCGCCGAGGCGGTGTCTGTGTCCTCTCCTTGAGCTCTTGGTCCCAGGAAGCAGTCTCCGTGTACGCTCAGTGGGCAACCTGGGGTCCGATCACCCCTTGGGCAGCGTGTCTCAGACCCCTGAGCCCCGCAAAGGGGTGCTCGGCATCGCGGCGCCCGATCCCGGCTCGCGGCTCTCCCAAGCTCTGCGCGCCCGTCGACGGCCCCGAGGCAGCCCGGACGGCCGAGGCCACGGCACAGGGGCGCGAACAGCCAGGCGCTCCAGCCGAAGCGGGGTCGGCGGCGCGGGGATGCCCGAGTCCGGGGAGCTCCTGGCGGCGG